GATCTCCTCCTTGTGTTCTTGTCGGCCACCCTTGCCCTTGTCGAGTCCTGGACTTGTCTTGCCTGCCTCCTTGTCAGACTTGAATGTAGGCGAAACGGGAAGAGCAATTTGATGAGGTAGTGGTTGTTCCGGAAGGTAGCGTCCTAACTGGCATGTATGGTTGTCTCTCCTGCCGGATGTGCTTCATCTTCCGGCTGTCCTTCTAGCTTCTAAAAGCTCGCTTGGCATCTCCTCGTGCCTTCTTTTGGACCTGGAAGGCTTCCTCGTACTCCTCGTCCCTGGGGTCCTCGGCCTCGTCCGTCATCTCCATTGCGTCTTCGGAGGAGAAGTCAGGCTGTCCGTGACCATGACCTGATCTTCATCCCAGTTTACCAGGAGCACCTCGTTGGGAGTTGTCCTGAAAGCGATCCTCATAGTCAGACGTTCGAATAATTCGCTCGACATCTTCGAAACGACAACTTCCGCCAGTGGATCGGATGACCTGACTCCTCTGTTCCCGGGACAGGCCGTACTTGCGCATGAAGAGATGTTTGAGGATGACGGAAGGAAAGATCGGCTTCCTTGTCAGGTGTCCGACTTCCAGAAGCTCAAGGTTGTCCATCATGCGTCTTGGGGCTCTCTCATCATCAGCCTTTTGAGTCCCACCACTTCGTTGAGAGCCACAAGAACTTCACGGCGTTTCAGGAAGCTCTGTCCAACAAAGCTGCCGACAGATTTATGGCGGCCCTTGGTGGTACCGGCAGTTTTGTCTTTGTCAGCTGGCTTCTCTGCTGCTGATGCCGTGGCCGCATCCAAGTTCTTCTTCGTCAAGTCTGGTCCCGTGGGTGACTCCAGAGTGCTGATGTCACTGTCGCCAGGGCCAGGCTCCCAGCCACTTCCAGATCTTTGGTGGCACCGTGCTTCCGCTTCTGACGTCCGGATAGCTTTTCCAGGGCACTCAGAGCCTCAAGCTCGTTGAGGATGGATTTGAATCTGGACACAAAGGCTGTCGGGCCTTTACCAAGTCGCCTCTTCAAGTGGAAAGGAAGCTCGTCCACACATTCATACAGCTCGCTCTCCGGCAAGTAGCGATAATGGTCGTCAAGGGCTCGCAAAAGCAAAAAAACTCGAAGCCAGCCCTTCTCGCCACGAAGGTCACCAACACTGAGATGCTCGGTCGCACGCCAAGCTTATCCAGTCAATCTTGTCAAAATCCGTGGACCTGCCAGTTTCAGCTGCTTCTTCTCAAGCGCAGCAATGTGGAGGAGGATCTTCCGCATGAAGTGGCGATATTTAGAAGGAGCGCCGTCAGAAGACATATCTCCCAAGAAACCTCCTTTGTCGGCCATGCTTCTTCCAGTTTACACAAGCCCTGGAGACTGAGGCTCCGCTACCATGAAAACAGTGCCGTCAGGTACTCGCTCAGAGCAAACAGCTTCACACAACAATGCTAGACATCTGTCGCACGAACCGCAGCTATCGATCCTGCAAGGATACCAAGGGCCCCTCATGAGCCGTTATGGCATCGAACACTCACAGCCTGAAATGAAGGGTCAACAGATTTGCACATCTTCCGGAATACGGTTCAGTTTTTACACTATGGCTTTCGATGAGGTAAGACTTGTACGTACCACGAGCATGTTTTTCAGTGGAGGCTTGCAAGTTGTGCTGATGGCGTAAATTTCCTTTCAAAAGGTTCTGTGCCTCCGAGCTTCGGCATTTGTGTCACCGTGCGAGGGACTGGCGAGGGCCTCCCTCGCGGAAACAGAGGCCGCAGAGGCTGAAGCTGCCAGGGCCTTGCTGGGCAACTTTTGAGGGCTTTGCAGGCATCTGCGCAGCCAATCTTGTATTGTCGAACTTCGGGTGTTAATGAAAACTGAAGTAACAGGTTCTGGAAAGCCATGCAGCACAGGCACTTGAATTGCTCAGCTCTCCAGAGGTCCGTTGGTCCACAGAGGTCCAGGAGCTGGAGGACCGGCTTAGGTCCGCGTCTTTGGGTACGTGGTTCAGGGAGTGCGCGGAAGGTTGTGCAACTTGTGCATGTTCCGACATTGTTGTGGCGCAAGTGCATTCTCTGTGTCAAGATTTACGCGCCACGTGAAAAGTTCGATCCTGGACAGACACCCGTGCCCTAGTTGTAGGACCATGGCAACACATCACACATAAGATATTATGAAGAGATCATCCTTACAAAAGGAGAGTTTCACATGATGCACATGTTGGGGAGTCGTTCATGCAGTCCAGACTTTGAAGCGGACATTCATACAGGGATGTGCGGACATTTCGGATAGTATGCTCGTCAATTGGCCGCCTTGAAATCATATTGTGAATTTTTCTGATTCGTGTTGCTGCAAATTCTCCACTCAGGCTTGCTTATTGCATCTGTGACTTTTCATGTAATAGTTGGGAGCAATCACGCACATACCAGTTCAAAATGGGCGGCCAGCACAGGCCAATCCGGGCTGACATGGCCAAGTCGGAACATGCGATGGAGGATTCTTCTCGTTGATTGGTGTGCTGGCGTCAAGCTTGTGGTCCTGCAACAACATACTCTGCCCACCTTGCACGAGCTGATGCAGGATGACAAGGCTAAAGAGAAGCGAGCCAAAGCTGTGGGGTACCCCAGATACACGACGACCCATGTTCGTAAAACATCTTGTGCTCAAGACCAGGCCAGGGAAAAGGCGATACGAGACAAGCAGCGCGAGTCTGCTCCCTGCATGAATTTCAGTCTGAGTCTGCTCGACACCTTTTCAAAATGATGTGCATGGGTTGGGGCGATCACCATGCTTGATGCTGCTTCAATCTGCCTGTCGCAACATTGTCACTCGACTTATAGGTGATCTCGTCAGAGCCGGCAAAGGAGCACCAGAGAGAGTGGCATTTGCGCTCGGTCAGCTTTCCACAGCGCAGGAACGATGCATAGCTGATTTTGCCTCCTGCACAGCCGGGCCCTCAGTGGCTCCAGTGGCTGAGAACACGGGAGGCGGGCTTTCAAAAGGTCTGAATGCAGTGGAGAGTCAGCGGAGAACATGAGATAAAAGAGAGGAGGTGCGATCATGTCTGAGGCCGGCCTTGTGGCTCTCCAGCTGCAGCAGTGGATGGACCTTTTCCACATCAATAGGCCGAACAGCCGAAGAAGTCTGTATCTCTTTCTGCCCTGAACCCTAAACCCTAAACCCTAAACCCTAAACCCTAAAACCCTAAAACCCTAAAACCCGAAAGCCCTAAAACCCTAAAAACCCTGAACCCTAAAACCTAAAACCTTTAAAACCCTAAAACCGTTAAAACCCTAAAACCACAAAACACTAAAACCCTAGAACACTCAAACCTAAAGCCCTAAAACCAAAAAAGCAAAAAACACTGAAACCCTAAAACCCTAAAATCCTAAACTCAAAACCCTAAAACCCTAAACCTAAAACCCTAAAACCCTACCCTAAGACCCTAAGACCCTAAAACCCTAAAACCCTAAAACCCTAAAACCCCAAAACCTTAAACCCTAAAACCCTAAACCTAAAATCCTAAACCCTAAAATCCTAAAACTTAAGACCCGAAAACCCGAAAATCCTAAAACTTAAAACCCTAAAACCCTACCCTAAAACCCTAAAACCCTAAACCCTGTTCAATCAGATTCCTGGTCTCCTTGGCAGCGATGGCCACTGGAGCTGGGCTTCTTCTACTCTCATCCCGTGCGCAGGCAAAAAGCCTCAGAAGAAACTACCATAATGGGTTTATATTAGGGTTTAGGGTTTAGGGTTTAGGGTATATAGGTTTAGGATTTCGGGTTTAGGGTTTAGAAGGAGAGGAAAAGGACAGGTAAACTACTATAATGGGTTTATATAGGTTTAGGATTTCGGGTTTAGGGTTTAGGGTTTAGAAGGAGTGGCAGAGAACATGTAAACCACTATAAAGGGCATATATAGGTTTGGGGTTTCGGGTTTAGGTTTAGAAGTAGTGGAAAAGAACGTGTAAACTACTTTAATGGGTTTATATAGGTTTAGTGTTTCGGGTTTAAGGTTTCGAGGGAGTGGAAAAGAACATGGAAACTACTATAATGGGTTTATAAACGTTTGGGGTTTACAGTTTTAAAGGAACGGAAAAAGATGGAAGACTACTGTAAGGATCCATTCCTTCATTGGCTACTTTGGAATTTGGGTTTCTTCCCACATCACTTCTTGGCATTGATCTTCTGATGGTCAACCTATGTTTCTTGCTTCGTTTTGCTTTCTGTCCACTGCAGCCATGATGCCGATTGCTCCTAGCCCGCTGCAAGATTATGCCTGTTGCAGCCTTGTCCCTCTGTGATTCGCATACTCTTATGTCCTGACTGCTTCGGCGGAGAAGGGCTGCGCCGTACACAGTTCTGCTGAGGCTTCATGCTGCAAACCATAATGCCGAGGCGGAACATTGCGTCGCAAACAAGAACCTGTTTCCAAAGTGGTGCTATCGTTAGCTTGTTGCAAACCTGTCAGGAGCATCGCGAGAGCATGCGAGCAAGCAGACACGTCCAGAACGCCAGAAGCGGGGGTTCAGTTGCTAAATCACGTTACGCAACCGAAGGAGGGTGACACACGAATGCTGGTATCGCTGTCAATACCGCATTGAGTTGTGTAAGACAGTATCACAAGCAAGTTTATGCTGGAGAAGATGTTAGTTTGTGAGTCGCGAGGGCCGGCACTTTCCGCAAGGTAGGGGTCGGTATTAGTTGGCTTGTGCAGGAGTACTAATACGAGATTGCCAAACTTGCGAATGGAGGCGTGAAAGCGGTGGCGCAGTTGTGGAACGATAGCAGCGAGGAAAGACAGAACCCGGATGGACAGATGGGCATCGACTAAGAGAGGGGCAAAGAAACAGTTGCTAGAGTAGACAGCGTAAGCAACACGAGGATAGGCCAGAGTCCGAGATCTCCGGTTGAATTCAAAGTCTGCAACAGCGATAGCAAACCTGCGGATGCTCCAGAAATCCCCGAAGTGCCCCTTCAGACTTGAAGAAACACAAGATGGAGCCCTGTGTCTCGTGAGGCAGCGTCCTTTGCAGCATGCGCTCTCGTGATTCTTCCCGTCCTTTTGGCGGGAGCTTTCCGGGACACCCGCTGCATGAATTCAGAGTCAATCACCAACGCAGTCCATTGTTTCAGGTTGAGGTTAAGCGGGGGAGCCAAGGCATTCTAGCCCAAGCCTGGCTACTGCATCTGCAGGACTTTCTGCGCTTCGTCGCCGCTTCCCCGCCTGCGGAACTGCTATGTGCGGTAGCAGGCAGGTCAGGGTTGGGCAAGTCTCCGACAGCCATTTCTCTGTGCCGGTACATGGCTTGTCGAAGGTGTACTCACTGCCATCCTTGCCTTTGCGTTCCTTTGGCAAGGGCAAGGGCCTCAATTTGAGTCGGAAGCCGCAGTCGTGGAGTGAGCTGCCTCAGGGCAGATGGCCTTCGACTGCTCCTAGGCGCTGCGCGCAGCTGGCAGGTTTGAAGGAGTGTAGGTATGGCTGGTTGGTGGCTGGGTTTGGAGCAGCCAGAAAGAAGCCAGGCTTGCTGTTTTGCTGGGCGACTTGGTGCTTGTGCTCCTCTTAAAAGTTGTGAGGACAAGTGGAAACTGCTCACGGTGCTGTTGAGCTGCTGGCTGAGGTGGCCAGCCGCCTCCCCCTGCCGGAGGCCTTGGCAGCCCTCGCTGCCATGGCGTTGGGCTATGCCGGTGCAGCAGCAGGTGTGGAGCCCTGATTCTGCAAGGCTGCGTTGTTCACTGAGCCTGACTGAGGCCTCTATCGCCGCCGTGCCACCCAGGCCTTTGCGGCTGGATGCCCGGAAACGTGCTGACCGTGACAACAGCCATGGTGACATCGCTAAGATGGCGGTGCCTGCAGCTTTGTTGCTGCCTGCTGGGATGCTGCTTTTCTTGGAAGCCCTCGGGCGCTCAGAGGCAGGCGCAAGCAGGCGCAGTAGTTTTCGAATCTTGCCGCCACATGACATGCTGGAATAGGCTTACTTAGAGGACATCGTCTCGGCCCTGCTGTCTGACCCTTGGGTTGCTACTTTCTGGTTGGACCTCCTGAGCAGCACAAGTGGAGAACAAGGCCATGGGCGGATCGAGATAGTGAGCAGGCTCGTCCGGCCTTGTTTCGAATGCTTCACTGTAATCCGATGGCGAGCTCACAGCTTGAAGACCAAAAAGATGTGATGTTCTGCCCGAGTCATGACTGGCGTCTAGAACTTTAAGATAGCGAACTCTACTCAGTTGCTTCAGATCGTTGCGGCATCCCACTCCCGCGAAGAGGTTGTGGGAAGCTTCTTCTGCGAATGTGGGCGTCTCCTGTGGTGGCAGTCTCAGCAGTCTTCCTTCCTTGGAGCCAGGCAGGGCAGGAGAGGGTTTCAATGCAAATGCCATTCAGGCTGTTGCTTCAACTGCCGGCACTAGCGCAGCTTCTCATGACACCAGGGATGGATGTGCGCCCGGCTTTGTTTCAATTCTTGGCAGTAACTTTGTCTTCTCCTTCCGGTTTGGCAGGTTGGACCCTTCCCTTGGGAAAGTGAGGAGACCAGCGAGAAAAGTGCAGTAATGGCCTCAGAGCACTGCCAAATCTAACCTTGCCTTCCTTTTGTAGCAGCAGGTTGTGGCTTCCAGCCCGCCTGAAGAATCAAAAGCCGAGGAGGCGGCCAACACCGTGACAAGTTACCGGCTGGTGGAGCAGTTGTGAAGTACAGAGTGCATGCAAAGGCGCCGGCAGAAGCTCCAGAGGCTGAGGCCTCCGAATTAGCTGCTTGTAGTCCTTGCCAAACCTGTTACGACACTTTCCAACACTTCAGGTCATGCCTGTGCCCTCATTGCGCTCGCAGGCCCAGATCTCCGCAGCATGGACACTAGTCTTAGACCTTCCTATGCATGTATTGAGTTTGGC